AATCAATCAAGCGAACAGTACAGGAATGAAGCTTGTTTTTCCTGTTCATGTGGAAGAACGGGATTGAGGGCAAACGTCCTCCACCAGCCACCCCACCTCCTCCATCGCACAGCTCCCTGAAGAGGGAGAATCAGAGTTGCTAGAGATTTGCTGCGATTGCTGGTTAGACTAGCAGAAGTGGAGGTTCTGCAGTGTTTTCTGAGGCCTTTGGGACATTCTCCCACAGGGATTTGCGTGGCCTTAGCTCATCAACTTGCCCCGCCACAAAAAACACAAATCGATGGAAATCCGGAAACCTCTCAGGATTCTCCAGATTCTGTTGGTGGGTTCTGGAAACCCGGCAGGCTTTACCCAGAGCCACTGGAGACGAGAGCAACTAATCCACTCTAGGCCGCCTCCCGAACAAGAATTTCTTTTTTTATTGCTAGTTGGCTTCTTTGGCTGCAGCTTGAAATCAAAATTGATTTGCAAGAGATCCCACAGCGATGACCTGGCAGTCTCTTTATATGAGCCGACCCAGGTGAACCTGGTCTCCTCCAGCTTCGAGGAGCTCTTCGGCTACTCGAGAGAGGAGTTGACGGGCAAGTCCATCTTGCGGTTGCTGTCCCTCACAGGAGCCAGCAAGTCTTCACACCAATCGCTGAAGATGAGTCTTCAGAAACTCTTCATGTAGAGCTTCTAACCTGGTTGCAGGTGGTGTTGCACGTCACTTGGCCATTTGCAGGTGAAGGATCCTGCGCAATACCTACCAATGGTTGCAAAAAACACTGCACCGTGGGGGGTTGCTTTAATGTCAACCCCGGATTAATAAACCCTCCCCCCCACATGGAAGGTCAACAAGGTCAAGAAGGTATGAGAAGACACTCAAACACTCATGAGGTCCACTCCCCCTGAATTATCGGCTCAGGGAGCCATCGCAGTCGTCGTCGGTAGTAGGTAGTAGGTAGTAGGAAGTAGGTAGTAGGTAGTAGGAAGTAGGTAGTAGGTAGTAGGTCGTAGGTAGTAGGTAAAGGTAGTAGGTAGTCGGTAGTAGGTAGTGGTAGTGGTAGTAGTTGTAGTAGTAGTGGTGGTGGTAGTAGCAGTAATAATAGTAGTGGTAGGAGCAGCAGCAGCAGTAGTAGTGGTAGTAGTAGTCACAACAAGTTTAAACAAGCGCAAAGAAAAGGCCAGGGACACAGGATCAAATTAAAGGGGGTTGTTGTGCAGATTATTGATGGGGGACCGGCCCTTGTGAGGGGTACCCTTTGTGAGCTTGTCAAATGATTGTTTAATTGTTTTTGAAAAAGGCAATTTATAGGCCCTGAGCCCTAGACATTTTTAAGGTTTTCATCAAACATGTAGTAGGTAGTAGGTGGTAGGGTGGTGATGGTGGCGGTGGTGGTAGTGGTGGTGGTGGTAGTAGCAGTAGCCGTAGCAGAGCAGGAGCAGTAACAGCAGGAGCAGCAGCAGCAGCAGCAGCAGCAGCAGCAGCAATAGCTAGTAGCAGTAGCAGTAGCAGTAGCAGTAGCAGCAGCAGCAGCAGTAGCAGTAGCAGTAGCAGCAGCAGCAGCAGCAGCAGGAGGAGGAGGAGGAGGAGTAGTAGTAGTAGTAGTAGTGGTAGTGGTAGTAGTAGTAGTAGTAATACGAAAAATTGACCTGGTTGTGGGCTAGGATTAACTGGGGGATTGTTGGTAGAAAACTAGACCATAGGGGGGGAAATCAACAGCCAATAATACTTTTAAATTGGACAATTTCCGGCGGCTTTGTGGGCTCGGGTTAACTAGGGGGGATATATTAATCCTGACTTGTAATTACTCCAATCACCAGGTCGGCGAACGCTCTCTGAGAACCTCTTGTTGATTAGCAGTCTGGCAATGATGTTATGTTTGGATTAGGCCTGATTAAGTAGGTTTGTTCGGGAACGGTATGGCTTTCATGAGCACCATGGTCACCCTGCAACAGGAATGGCTGATCCGCAGCTGGAAATATATTACAACATGGCGCTTCATGGCTTGGGTCTAGCACCCACGACCGGTGTGCAGGTCCCCCTGCGGCGGAAGACAGGTGAACTCGTGGATGCCTCGGTGACGATCCAGAAGACCGTGCTACCAGGACCTCATCCGAAAAGCATGCTGGTGCTTGAATCAGTTCAATCACTCTCCCCCATCCGAAAAGTTTTTGTGGCTGGCCCAAAGCAATCCTCCAAAGACGATCCAAGCAAGATGGTGTTGCTCAATTCACCGTAGATTCTTGTTGAGTTGATCTCCGAGGTGCTGGAAAAGATGATATCTGGTGGCTGGTGGGGTGAAGTCAGTTTGAGGAATTGTATAGTGTTTCAATGTTTTTCATTTCCCCGTCAACTACAGACCTGCATGACGTAGATCTCGAGGAGCTCCTGGGCAAGAACTTTTGCTCTTCCATTTCACTGATCTCACCAACCACGAGGAGGTAGATCAATGGGTTGGCCTTGTTCGTTTTTGGCCCACACGCCAGTTCATAAGATATTTTTGCACAACTGCACAGTGCATGTTCGGTGCGGTTAGGAGATTTTGGGAGGGTTTTGGCCCCGGTAACATCCTCGGGCCTTCTTGACTTTTTCATATATATATATATTTGTATGACTGAAAAGAACGCAGAGGCACATAGACGCAGTACGTTGCAACCGATTTCTCCAACTTCATTCCCGGTGGTGCTTCGTAAATGAGACTGAGATAGTTAATGATAAAGAGCGAAGCGGGACTATCTTCCATGACTACCCCAACGTTGGAAGCACGCTCCACCATTCGGAAGCATGCCACATGCTGGCAGGGGGGGTTAAGCCAAACTGTTTGAACATTGCCCTGCAGACAATTCAATTAGACTATTATACATTGTTCTCTTCTACGTCAACTACGAAGGGGTCTTAGAGAGCAATGAGGCAGGTGAGCAAGTTGTTTGGCGGGTTTCACTGTGGGGTACACATGACACAAGATTGACACACACACACATGTTCAATCCAAAAGTAAAGTCGTTACTGGTCACCGGTAGCTGGATGTCATGAACACTTGAGAGCTTCACTCATAATTAAATTTACAGCAGTGGCATTCGTGGGGGCAGAGCCTGGAAGTTCTCGCCCGAGGGCAGTGTTTGCTGAGCTCGCGCGCCAGGTCAGTGGATAGCTCGGAGGCCATGTCTTAGACTGACTGGGCCGGGGCTGTGCCCGTGCCCAAACTCCAATGGCTGTGTTTAAAGGCAAGCTGGATAGGAAAGTCCGACAGGTTGACTCGCACATTGATTGGATTCCTTTTTGAACATCTGGGTGGCTGCAGGACACTGAATTGTCAAATTGAAGCTGTTGGCAAAGTGGCAACTGTATGTGCTTTTGTGAGTGTTCTGAGGCAGAAGCCCCCTCAGATCCGCACGTGGCACATTTTCCCATTTGAGTCAAGACATAGACTCGTTGGATTGTCGCACTGACCATGAAGTACCCGTGTTCATCACGGGGATGCAGAGTGCGCAGGTTTCTCGTCGTGTTTTCGTCAGCGGATTCCAAGGACGATGCGGCTCCATAGTTTAAAATAGACTGAAAGGTGAGCTTGTTGGCTTAAAGATCCTTCTGAAAGAAAACTGTGAAGGGGCAGGACCAATTCCGCTTCATGATCCTCATAAGCCCAAGCCCTGATGCATTTAAAGAATATTTTGTTTGTAAAGATCACTGAGTGCCTGGAGGTGCTCAACCTCGAAGAGAGCCAACAGCTCACGTGTCACATGCATTTGGCTGTGACAGAGCATCAATCTTTGCTGAAGCGTTGAAACCCATTTCCATTTTTGTGCTTTGGAAACGCAGCTGGCAACAATTGCTTCAGTGTCTCAAGTTGTGCAAATGCAGACAATTGCACTGGCATGGTGAGACGGAGCAACTGCAGTTCCAGCGTGTTCCTGACTTTTAATATTTTCTTGAATCCAGCTCAATGCTGGTCTTCCCCTTCATGCACAACTGCATGAGATTGACGAAGTGTTTATCGACGGAGAGATAAATCGAGAAAGTGTTTGTTTCTTTTGCGGCTTGGGGCCACGCAGAACCACAGAGCACAGGAAGCATGGCCCATTACATCACCCTCCGCTGACTAGTAGTGTAGTTTAAATATATCATGGGTGGTGTTTGACACACAAAAATTCCCAGATCGAGGTGTAGCTCACCACGGGCCAGTAGGCCATTCTAGGCAATTTCACTAGGAGCTAAGGGACAATTCTACTACCTCTCAGGCTCCAGGACCGATCTGGTGCATGATCAACCATGATCAGTTTTGGGATAGATGAATGACCTCCACACCCACACGATTTGCTTTGCCTTATGCTTTGAGGAGGTTTGTTACAGATTTGTATGGCAACCATACCCCCACACCTGCAAGTCCGAAGAGCATTCAGTCAAACTCCTTCACTTGTCACAATTCGCATGCGGTTGGTCTGGTGACAGATCGTAGTCTCCCCATGGCAGATGGATCCTGATGCTGATGCCTTCGTGATCTGAAGACTGAATCTGCATGCACTTGTTGCTCCTGTGGCTCATGCTCCCAAGATTTGCTTGGTCGTGGCTGTTCCTGTTCTGATTGAGAGGAGCAGCTATACCCAGAATCGATGACGGCCAAAAAGAGTCCACATTTGAAACACAGACACCCGACAAAAGAACCATGGGTGGGCCCGAAGTGGATCTCCAATGCAGCAGGTTGTTTGATCCAATGGATGTGGCCCAAACCTCCAAAGCTGCTCCCACAAGTAGCCCTTGCATGCCCTTGCCATATTCGGAGGAATTCTTTTTGCGGAAAGGACCATGCGAAGGCGTGGGGCGATGTGGGTTAGGAGAACCCCAGAACCAGGCGGATCAGCCCTAACCTGCCTTTGTGTGCTTAGGAGACACATTCAAAGCCTTCCACATCTACTTTCGAGATCCTTGCGTTGTGCCTGTATAAATTTTACATGGAAACCGATCACAAGTGACCCCTCACAGATTGGATGCTGCCGGACCTCCTTCCACCTGGGAGGAGCTCAAGAGCCCGCAGCTGGAGAAGCGACTCGAGACTGGCTCTATCGTGGTCGGCAGCTCAGCGGGCTTGGATTGAGGCACACCAACTGAACGCGAGAGATGGGATTGGAGATGTGCAGACCATTTGGCCGTTGATCATATCCTGGTTGTTGTCTTGAAATGAAAAGTAACCCTGATCAAGACTCACAAACAACTATTCCCAAGTTGTAACAACAAACCCTGATTCGCTAATTAGTTGTACAGTCCGTTATTCAGCAATAACAAGATATAACAACAAATAAATAAACAAACACACTCACACACACATACATATATATATATATATATACACACTATGTTTTTATTGAACTTTCACATTGGGGTAAACTGACTCCAATTGCATCGCATCACTGTGCACCGTTCTATTCCAAGGTACCTCGTTAAGCGCCCTGTCTTTTCGCCATGTCGGTCAGATGTAGTTGACCCCACCAGGAAGAGCTGCGACTCGTGGGCGAGCGTCTTCACTACCGACTTTTGAGAGGTGCCCTTTCGTGTTGCTGGAAGATTGGGAGAATGGTACCATTTCCTTTCGGAGTAGATAGACGATGACCAGTTCGAACATCTTCAGTTGCCAGATTGTCTAACCGAACCACATGCCAGCGAGGTTCCTGTTCAATTTCTTGATATCCTTCTCAGAGGTAGCTTACTCTGACCACGTCAGCTTGCAGCCACTCAGCTTTGGGGCCTGTTGATGGGGACATTAGCGGTCATTGGTGACTTTGCATGACAGATCTAGACACTGGCAAACAGATGGTTAGGATATATTAGGATTCAGAAGGCTATCGGATTCGCATGGATTCGCGGTTCGGATTCTCGAGAAAGCCTCGGGCCTCCATGGATACATGGAGTCGCTTCGGGAGAAAGCTGACTTTGTGCAGCAGCACCGGCTTTGCAAGACGACCTCTGCCTTTCAGGTGATACAGAATCTTCTCTGGCCTGACGCCAGCGCCAGCTTGATAGATTTTCTTGCGCATTTCTGTATAGTGATTGTGATTAACCTACTGCAACCATGACTACAAATCTGCTATTCAAGCAGCCTCTATTCTATCGGTCCATCTCAAGGCGTCCAGAAGCTCTGGGTAAACTGGGATAGCATGTCTGTGTTTTTCACTTGAGCCTGATTCAAGGCATATGTGTTGGGGCCTTTTAGGCTCGAGTATGCAGGCCATTGGATGTGGCAGGAGCTAGACTCGACGCCCGGGTCAAAAGGACGCTTCGCTTTCAGCCGCAGGGGCGGCTCGGATCTTCAAAGGTCGACCAAGCCTTTAAATTGGTAGCGGAGCCCGCAAGGGCTGCCGCGGGGGCAGATGAGACGAGAAGAAGCTGGATGGACTGACCAAGAGGTTCGACGGAGAGGGTGCCAACTCATCGAAGGACTACGAACGCTGGCGTCGATGAAGCAGGGCCTATCTCACAGTCCAAAAGGCCAAGGGGATCGCAAAGGAAACACATGGCAGCCTGATCTTCTCCTTGCTGGACGGGACTGCTTTACGTGCTCTGGACTCAATCCCGATGGACCGCATTGAGGAGGAAGGCGGCGAGGAGGTTGTGTTCCAGGTGTTGGATGAGCGATTCCCGGCCGAGGCGACACATGACCGCCTGGGCAAGGTGCTCGACCAGGTCTTCGATTTGAAGGTGGACAAAGGGGAGAGCACAGCGGTCTACACGGGCAAGGCGAGGGCGGCTTTCGCGGCTGCGGAGGCTGAAGGTGTGGTCTTGCCTGAGGTCGCCCGTGGATATGGCAGCCGCCAGGCAGTCGTACACCGAGAAGGATGTGGCTGCGGCGTTGAGGACCACGTACCCGGACAATCTGTTCCAAGCGGCACGACAGACAGGGACCTATCGCGTTGAAGATGAAGAGCCCATATCAGAGGAGGACACGCTGACCGATGAGAACGCTTTTGAAGTGTACTTGGCTCAAGCTGGGTATGACTGGGTATGCCCCGGATGATGAGATGGAGGAGCAGGACCGCGTGGACATCCTGCTGACCTGGAAACAGACGAGGGCAGGAATCAACCAAACCAAGCTGGCCAGAGGTTTTGGAGCGAGTCGAAACACCACAGGCAAAGACTTCAAGAAGTTGGAGAGCCGAGTTCGATGCTTCCGATGCAAACAGGTCGGGCACTTTAGTCGCAATTGTCCCAAGAAAGGAAAGGGGACAGGCAAATCGAGCAAAGATGCCACGACCATGCCCAACAACAAGGTGACGACCTGGTCCAATGACTACTTTGAACCGGAACAGTTGCTGAGCAATGGCCACACACCTGGGGACCGCCGTTGTCAGGACAAGAGATGATGGCAGCAGTGGCAGGCTGGGAGTATGTGAGAAAGTGCAAGGGAGACCCCAGAGATGTATGAAGTGGAGTCAGAGGAAGCAGCCCAGGTCGATGGCAATGAGGAACTGGACAACCAGACCGGCAGTCATCCAGAAGACATGGAGGAAGAGACCGACAATAGGACCGGCAGCCAACCTGGCAGAAGCGGAACTCTCAGATATGGATGATGATGGGGAACAACGTGTCTTCACCGCCCAGAAGAGGAAGAGGCTCCAGAAGACACTCAGTGCAGTGATGGCCGCTCAACACTTCCTGTGTCGAGATCTTTTGCCCTGGAAGGTTTGGGGAGAAGGCTCACATGTTTGGCATTAGAGGATGCAAAGCCTTCGGCTGGACTGGAAGAGAGCAGCTGATCGGGCAGAAGTGTGGAAGTATCTGGATGAAGAGGACCCAGACCTGGTGATCATGAGTCCGCCGTGCGGACCACTATCGCGCCTTCAGAACTCCACGCCACCATGGCGGAGGAACGACCTGGCTGAGTTCAACAAGTCGATCGTGGAGGCAAAGGCAATGGTGGCACGGTGTACGAGGATTGCAAAAGACCGTATGAGAAAAGGGAGACTTTTCCTTTTCGAATCCTCGTCGACAAGTGCTGCCTGGAGAGAACCTGCTTTGATCGACCTGCAGCAGCCAGAGGAGTGCCACCGAGTGGATGTGCCGGCGTGCTCAGTGGGACTCAGAGACCGAGCAAGGATCGCACAAGCTCTTCGGGAAGAAGTGGGCATGAATGCTCCGGGATTGTGGCTATGCTATCAGCTCCGATGCAGTGGAGATCACGAGCACCAGGTGGTCGAAGGCAAGTCAGGGGGACAGTTACGGTCCATTCAGACACAGGCGTGCCCAGAAAATTGATATACAAGATTCTAGGAGGACTGGCCTGTAACGAGAAGTTTGAGCATCTTTGTTGTCCTATTAGCCAGGCGGACGTCCAAACTGAGACATCGGAGCTCAACAAAGGGTCACAAAGAAAGGGTCAGGAATGCCATTAGGAAGATGCATGTCAATTTGGGCCATGCTTCACTGGATGACATGCTGCGCATCTTACGCCATCACGGCGCTCAACCGGAGGTACTGGAGATCGTTAAGAGCTTTCAGTGTGACTTGTGTGATGCTAGACGGCAGCCAAAGGCAGTGAAGGATAGTGCTGCATGCAAAGACCTAGCCCTGCTCCGATACATTGGACTGGATGTCAAATGGCTTCCCACGTGGAAGAAAGACACGCAAACAAAGCTCTGAACATCGTATGCAGGGCATCAGGTTTCCAACAAATCTACCCCTTCCGGGAAACAGAAGCATCAGACGTCTTGGTGAGGCTGTATCGGATGTGGACACGATCGTTTGGGAGACCAAGGTATGTGAAATTTGACGCCAGCAGATGCAACCTAGGTCAGCCATTTCTAGATGCACTCGAACGAGACGGTACAACCCCATTGGACATCCCTGGAGAAGCACATGAACAGTTGGGAGACGTAGAAGTCCAGGGTACGCATTTTTCAACCATGTTGACGAAGGTTATAGACCAAATGCAACCGGATGACTACAATCAACGGTTGGAATGCGTGGACAGTACACCGGAGGCTAAGAACCAACTGATGAGACGGGGAGGCTACAGACGGGTGTTTGGACGAGACCCAGAATTCCCAGGCGATGATCTTTTGGATGAACCCCCAAACCCGATATCCAATGAAGCAATTTTGGAAGATGCCATCGCTGCCTTTTCTTTCCGTTCTCGACAAAGGGCTCGAGAGGCGTTTCTGCAGTCGTTAGACCATCGAGCAGCAAGAATCGCTTTGAATGCGAGGCCTAGACCTAGGAGAGAATTCAGAGCAGGAGATGAAGTAGCAGTTTGGAGAAGGGGACGGGGCATCAAGAAGAATATGGCTCGTTTGGAGGGGTCCTGGGATTGTGGCCGGTGAAGTTGGGGGAAACTATTGGTTATCAAGGCATGGTTCATTTGTGAAATGCTCACCAGAACAGCTGCGACTACGGACGGCCTCAGAGCGAGAAGCTGATCGATTTTTGGTCAGGGATATCCGTGCTGCCGCAGCCCAGTTGTTTCCAGAAGTTTTACAAAGCATACCCAGAAAAACTTCATCGATATCACGAAGGATGATTTCCCCCCAGGAGACCTTTTTCCGGAACAATCATCAAGGGGCCAGCAGCAGCACGGACCAATGGATGCCGCAGATCAGCCCGAGCGTCTATACCATCCAACCCACCAGCAAGCAAACCGTCTTGATGGGCACATCCGACCAAAAGGCTCAGAACCCGAGCTAAAGAGACTCCGCCAAGAGCAAAGAGTTGGAGGACAAACATACCCTCAGTCACTTCCAAACCCACCAACAAGGATACCAGAACAAGTACCGATCCCAGTTTCCAGCGACAGTGGATCAAGAAGTGCCACATCTTCATCATCCTCATCGGGATCAACATCCAACAGTTTATGGACAGAACGGAAACCCATGTTGGATTCAGCATCGTTCAATGTTGCACTAACAGAGTATGGGGTAGAGGACCAGGAATGGGTGTTGGCAACGGAAGATGTTGGGGAAACAGGGCACGAAGTACTTTTAGCTGGAGGGAGAAAGGAGATCAACATCAAGGAGGTTCAATGGGTAACTCAAGAAGGAAAGGAGAAACTCATTGCCGGAATTAGAAAGGAAGTGAAGAATGTGGTCGCAGATAAGAAGGCTCTGCGACCATGCTCACTGGAGGAGTGTTGAAGGATCAGGCAACAACATCCTGAGAGGATAGTGCCCAGTCGATTGGTCCTGACTCCCAAGACCGACGACACAGGCGATGAAATAGTGAAGGCTAGATGGACGGCCAGGGGCGACAAGGATCCAGATTTGTTTGCTTTGGTCAGATGAGGCAAAACACAGTCACCGACTATATCACCCAAGGGACGATTCGCAGTTTTGCAGACAATAGCAAGTTGTCACTTCTCGCTACAATTGGGTGATGCGACAGGGGCCTTTTTGGAGACCAAAGAACTAAAGAGGGATCAACGTCTCTGGATGTCTTGCCCAAAGAACTATCCTCTTCCGGATCACGACCCTGACCAGTTGTTTGAGGTAGTGAGACCTCTGTACGGACTAAACGACAGTCCACAAAAATGGTTCAGCACTTTCGACGAAGCAGTGA